TGTGGCGTGGGCTGGCGCGGCCGCGCGGGCGGGGCCCGGCGACAGCTGGAGGAGCGCTTCGCCGACCTGGCGGCCAGCCACCTGGAGGCCCTGCGCGCGCGCGACGAGCGGGACCGGCAGAACGCGCGGCTGCGCGAGGAGAACGCCCGCCTGCGCCTGGAGAACCGGCGGCTCAAGCGCGAGAACCGCAGCCTCTTCCGCCAGGCCCTGCGGAGGCCCGGCGACGGCGGCGACCCCGACGCCGCGGACGTCCGCGCCGGCCCGGGCGAGCCCGCCGCCCACCGCAGGGCCGCGGCCGGAGGCCCCGACGACGAGCCGGGCAGCCCCAGGGCGCTGCGCGCCCGGCTGCAGAGGCTGGAGGTCATGTACCGCCGCGCCCTGCTGCAGCTGCACCTGGAGCAGCAGGCCGCGCGCCCGCCGGGGGACACCGAGCAGCCGTCGCCCCGGAAAACGGCCACCGGCCCGCGCGCCCAGGACCCGGACGTTCCCGGGCCCTGGCCATAGCCGGACCGCGCCGCGCGGCGGGAGGGGCGGGGCCTGTGTGCGGACCGCCCCCTTGGCGCCACGCCCCTCTCAGCACGCGGAAGCTCGGGACCCGTGCTCCCCGGACCGAGGCCCCTCCCTAGGCCACTTCCGGGCGTCACATCCGTCGGCCTGCGGGATGGACAGGAGAAGGAGCCTCCAAGTTCCCACGTGTGCGCGGAGCAACTGCCAAGGACCCTGCTAGTGTAGTGAGAGAGGCCTAGCGACTCCAGGGCAGGCTTTCAGGCAGCAAGAACTGGGTGCCTGGCAGCATCTCCTAAATTCTTGAAGGTTTCAAAGTGTTGTGAGGACCAGTTTATCTTTCTTTTTTTCCCCTCCCAGTTTTTGATACCCTGAAGGATGAACAGTGTATTTGAGTTGGTTAATGCCTCTTCATTCTTCTGTCCCTAAACTCTCTGCTATTATCTCTTATATGACCCACATTTTGAGTATGTTTTATAAATTGGTATTACTTGGATATCCCATAAAGTACTACCTTTTTATAGAGAAGAAAATATTTATAACTGACCATCACTCAAATCAACATATGTTTAATATATTCTGGTGCGTTGACCTCCAGAGACGTTTTTAGAGTATATTCTGACAGGTGATAATTTGAGTTGATAAATAAAACTGGTGCATTAAAATTTCTGAGTATTTTATGTGTTTTAAGCTTTGTTGGTTCCTTTAGGCTTATATGTGCGTATATGTTTCATATTTTGGTACTTGGCTTTGTTTTCCTTTTATAATGGTTTGGATTATTTACACAAGATCTTTAAAAAAAATCTCAGGATAGTTTGAACACTTATAATTACAACAGTTTAGATTAGCAATGCTTATTCAGTTCGTTCATGGAGTTATTTTGCCTGATTTTAAATAACTTTCAGGAATTTATAAATGACTTGCACATTATTATACAAAAATTCCTAGTGAATTACGTTTCAGTTGTATGCTTGATACCAGAAAACAAACAAAAGTCCTAACAGTACATGCTCCAAGCTTCTCTTCTTAAATTTATTTAATATTTATTTATTTGAGATAGGGTAACGTTCAGTAGCCCTATGTGGCCACTGTCCTCCTACCTAGGCCTACTGAGTGCTAGGATTACAGGCCACCACCACCAGCAACATGTCCTCTGATCACTTTCATTACATTTTGCCTACTAAGCAGTCAAGAAAATGCAATGTTTCCCATAAAACTTGTGGAAACAAAAAGATGTGCTATCTTTCTTTATCCACCGTAAGGATCATTGATGACAGTGCTATAACAAAAGTCAGGTCAAACAGATGAAAAAAGAGTTAAAACTTTACATGTCCCAGAGTTTTTAGGAGGAACTCTTGAAACCAGTGAATGAATGTGTAGCCCTGTAAAGGTGAGTGAATCGTAATTACAGACTAATAGTTACAGAGTGAGAGGGAAACCTAGGAAAGCCCATCCGTTTACTCTCTTCTTCTCTGTGCTTCATTCTTTCCGATGGGCACAGGTCATGACTCCATTCAAAATGTTCTTATGGCAAGTATCAAGTAAGACTAGATAATTTCTTTATGGCTATCTCAAAAAAAGCATAAGATATTTGAAGTAGTACTTGTACATTTTATAGCTGTCTGAGAAAAATTACTTGTCTTACAGAAAAGAGAGTAATGAAATTTATGGCTTGCTTGTGGGAGGAGACAACCTGTGAAAGACCTACAGACAGGGAAAAGGAGGTTCTTTCAAAAGTGTTCAGCATAGGTACACTCATCTTTGCAATGTTGTTTTTGATGACTCTGTACATCATAGGTTCAGAAGTGTTTAAACAATAGGAAACATTTTGAGGGGGGAAGGGCAACAAGTAAGTAGCAATGTAAAGAAATGAAATGTATGCTGTATACAACAACTTCCAAATAAGTTTAAGCACATTTCAAGTATTTATTACAAAACAAGGGACAAGGAATGATATTCCTTGTTTAAAAAAAAAATGTTTGAGGATACTTTCTAATAGGTAACTTGTTCAGTTGTGAATTACTGACATCCTCCTCTGTGGCTAAAGTATATGAGAAAGAATTCTCTGAGAAGGAGTAGGTACATGAAAACTAATACTTCTCCTATTCATTTTATGCTTTTACAGGCAAATAAAGCATTTATAGAAGGCATTAGAGCTTAAAAATAAAATGAAAGGATTATATTTCCTAAATGTATTTCACTGTAGCATTAGCTTTAATTTAGTTAATTTCTCTAGGACTTATTTTTCTAATTAATGAAATGAATATTCAAGATCTACCTCAAGTATTGTAGAACATTTACTGAGATATTAGAAGTAAAGTACCTGTGTCAAAGTAAGTGCTCAATCGGTAAGAATGGCGTTTTCTGGCATAAAAATAGCATTTCAGTATTTTCATAAATATGTTGTTTTTTAATGCTTACAAGGGAAAAGGGGATAAAATCTTTATAATAAAATAATAGTGTAAAACAATGTTTACAGGTGTTTCTGACTACTACAAAATTGAGAAAATTCAACAAAGCAAATATTTTTTATATGGTCCTTGAGCTTTTTGTTGTAAAGGTTCATATAATGTTATTGTGAATAAATAGCAAATTAGATTTACTGGTGGGAAAATGCAATGAGGTACAGACATAGATTTCCTTTCGTGCAAATTTCACGAAAGATGTTAAAAACTGTCAAAGCAACACATTCTACAAAATGGGAGAAAGCTAATACACATTTCCACCATAATGACTTCGCTGTTGGCCGTGGGTTAAGTACACTGCATTGTGAAAGATGACTTGACAAAACGTGTAGTCTAAATTTAAAGAGTGGATAAAGTTGATATTACACAAATTACCAGCTGCCTAACTTAATCAGTACAAAACTAAAAGTGCTGTATATTCTAGTTTATTAAAGGAACACTTTATTGTCATAATTTCACATTAGTCATACAATGAAAAGAGGCTTTACAGTTTATTGATATAAGCAAACAGAATGTGTTTTCACCAAAAATTATGTTGAGAATAATTGGCTTTTAATAGGATTTTTATAGCTGTTACTCTGTATGAAATTGGGATGGTAAAAATAGCAATATAAAATAAGACCTTACACCACTGGTCATACAACCAGCTATCCTTGCCACACTTAAATATTTTAAAGTCAGGTTTGCCAACTCATGTTATTAACACAATGAAAATAATCAAGTTAATAAATTTAATTTATAATGTATGCTAAAAATTTTACCACCATGGGCTTGATTCTAAAACAAAAAGAACACTTGATACTTTTTTGTAAAAAGAAAGTATATTTACTGAGAATTTGACATGAACTATTTGGAAATTTTTGATGACTCACATTTTACATTTCTATTTAGTGACATGTTGATTAATTATAGGTTGGTCTTTCTACTTTTATGGTTCTTTGTTTTGGTTTGTGGAGGGTCTAACTGTGTATTCTTAAATCATCTGAAGCTTGCTGTATAGATCAGACTGGCTTTGAATTCACAGAGATCTGCCTGCTTTTGCCTCTGAGTTCCATGATAAAGGCATGTACTATCATGGCAAAATTATACTGTATATGCAAACTGTAGGCACTATCGTGGAAAAATTATGTATATGTGTTTGCATGTATGTGTGTATGTGTGTGTAAGGATATAATTGAATATGCGGTAGAGAGTATGCAAATATATTCATTCAATGGAAATAAAAGATTAAGAAAAACAGGTTGATTATAGCCTCACCTGAGTGTAAGAATTACTCTTGATTATATTTCAAAAGGTAAACCTTAAGCTAAGATTTGCATATCTCAACAATGAGAATTGAATCATGACACATTTAATCCATAGCAGATATGCCTTACTGTAAAATTCAGTGGTAGAATTACTTAATTATCATTACAGTTCCCATAGTTTAGAGGTTCTTTGGAGCTGAAAGATTTATCTATTACAGCTCCATTCCCACCACTGTGGTGGTATTATGGGATAGTGAGTCTTTTAAAGGTTGAGACATAGTGAAGAAGATTGTTTTATTGTAGGCATTCCCTGTTAAGGGTATGTTAACTAGGGACCTTAAAATGTTTCCTATTGTTTTTTTCTCGAGTAGAGTTTCTAAAAAAAAAAAAAAAAAAAACCAAATGTAAAAGCAAAGGTGCAAACACAAATATCACTCACATTTTTATATACACATACATAGGAATTTTCAGTGCATTCTACCCATTTCCATTGGTACAAAAGGGATTTGATATGGCTACATTAAAATGTTTGTGTGTATCTCTGTGTGCATGTGTGTGTATGTATGTGTATAGGACATAAAAGTGGAAACATGTAGGAAAGAAAGGAGACTATGGGCAAGGGGGAATGGGAAAGACAAGAGCAAGACAATGTGGAGACTGTGCCACATGTACGTAGTTATGTAAAAACCAAAAAAAAATAACAAAAATGATCTTTAAAAATCTTTTAACTGTAAGAGCAAGCACCATTGAAACCAAAACTTATAAAACCATATAAAAATTTAAAAAAACATAGAATTGTTTTATGTAGTGGAAGTTCTGGTTTCTTTAAAAACTCAGTTATGTTATATACATGTTATCCTTTTAATCCCAGGTGTGGAATATGGAGGTGCTTTTAGTTTATTCACAATTGCCTTGTGCTACTTAAAGGCTCAAAGAAGGGCATGGTCTTTGCCAGCTGCAGTTAGTGGAATCCTAATGACTCTGAGAGGGTATAAATGCCAAATCCCAGAGAGAGGAGGAGCTCTCTTTGAGGAGACAGACAGAGAAGGAAGCAAACTGCTTGCTCATTTGGCTGTGTTTGCTGTTTACTGTTGCTGGAGTGCTAGATATCCTGATGACTGAGATTGGTATTTTCCCAAAGAACCCGATGACCAGCCAGAACTAAGCCTAAAGAGCTCCATGTCCTCTGTCTCTTCTAACCATCTTTCTCTTCTACTTAGGGTCAGGGGATTGGAAGGGAGGTACAGGCATTAAGGAACACCAAATGAAATAGAGTTAGACAATAGCACCTACAGATTTATATATAGATTAACTTGACCTTTCATACATGTTCACTTCTTTTGAACACACAAAAAAGCAATTTCTTATATATGAACAAGAAAATGTAGTCATAAAATTTTCTTAGAACATTCTTGTAATTATGAACCACTTTGACAATTGTGTGTGTCATTAAGATGTAGTTTCAGCTGCCACAGAGGGCCTCTGAAAGGCTCTGCCCGGCAGATTATCAAAGCAGACGCCGAGACTTATGGCCAACTGTTGGGCAGAGTGCAGGGAATCTTATATAAGAAGTGGGAAATAGTAAGATCTGGAGAGGACAGGAACCCCACAAGGAGAGCAACAGAACCAGAAAATTTGAACACAGGGGTCTTCCCAGAGACTCATACTGCAACCAAGTACCAGGCATGGAGATAATTTAGAACCCCTGCACAGATGTAGCCCATGGCAGTTTAGTGTCCAACTGGGTTACATAGTAATGGGAAGAGGGACTGTCTCTGACATAAACTGATTGGCCTGCTCTTTGATCACCTCTCCCTGAGGGGGGAGTAGCCTTACCAGGCCACAGAAGATGACAATGCAGCCACTCCTGATGTGATCTGATAGACTAAGATCAGAAGGAAGGAGAGGAGGACCTCCCCTATCAGTGTACTTGGGGAGGGGCATGTG